AATTTGATAATATGCTTGTTTGTCATATTTATATAAGCAATTGAATATAAGTTAATGCATGTGTCAATAACCTTTTTTCTAAATGAACATATCAATCTTCTATAAGCATATACCTTTTATTTACTCACTTTATACTTTACACACATCTGTCTCTGTGAGGATCACCATCAACAAACATAACACACCCTTGGCTGATATTGTCCTGTTGGCTCTCTTCGGCACAGCGGTTACCGATCTACACATCACAATTGTCTAGGGTGGAAAAAATTTTACCTGTCTCCTACCAATATTAGCCCGTCGGCACAACGATTAACAATGTAAACATCACAATTGTGTGGGGAGCTAAACTTCAGTCTACTTTCCCCTGATCGATATTATCCCATCGATACAACAATTAATGAATTAATTATTACAATTGTTTGGGTGGTAGAAAAAATCTACGCGCAGGTACATTGGCTTACACTATCTGTACTATAAGGGGGTATAATACTCCTCTGAACATGCAAATACAAACATTCATATATAAACTATTTCATTCTTCATGCATACATTATTCTGAAACTAACATGCATAATTCTCTGTTGTGCAACTATTCATCATGCATATCTTTTATATCATTCATATATCTATCTCATACATATATCTTAATTATATTATGCATATATTTTATATATGCTTATCTTACATATAATGTGTATCTACATACCATTCATCTTATGTATATCTTTTATGCATGCACATCTTTTTTTATTATGCTTATCATGCATATCTTTCCTTTCTAACAATATAAAGAATCTAATTAAATTCGGGCATCCATTGAGTTTGACATACAATCTGAAATATAGAAGATTACTGAAATTTAAACACATAATTATTCACCACAGTTGCCATGCTAAAGCCTTAATTTTCAATGACTAGCTGGAGGTTGCGGTGAGTTATGTATTGAGCTTAATAACTTATAAAACATAATATTAAACTTTACGATTAAAGTAATTTCTTTAAATTAAATTATTTCTCTTAAATTAGCGTATGATTATTTACCAGGGATGATCTTCTACATGCTTCCCTCGAACTCGTCACTTTAGGTAACCAACTTGAAATCTTAAAAGACTTAGCAATTCAGAATATATTAGTTCATAATGAAATTTAATCCAAAAAGTAACTTTCTTACCTCCACTAGGCTTCTCGGCACAAGTCTGCCTTTTCGAAGTGCCAAATATCTTTTCCTCTTCCTATCTTCTTAATCTCCTCTTTGCTTTTGCTGATTTTGTGTTAAAACCCCTATGAAAACTCGAAATCCACTTATGATTCTTCTGACACAAGATCAACGCCTTCGATGACTACTGGAAACGAATAGTGCACGAAAAATGAGGCAAATCTCAAAATGAAAACAAAAAGGAAATGAAAGTCTCAAATAACATGAAATATGGTTTCACACCTTAAGATTTCATCCTAGAGCCCTAAAATGCCATATGTGGCTTTGTGTGGGCCGCTCGCCTCTTCTGCGCGACTCTGCTACAGTGTTGGAAACGCTGGATGCTTGTGAGGTCTAACAGGAAGAGGAATCGAAAAGGAGGAAGGGTCGGGAGAGGAAATTTGAAGCGGGGAGTGGGTTGCGGGTTACCATGTGGCCACTCGGTTGCCTCTACTTGCGGCTGTAGGCTTTGTAGCGATCGAAACTCCCCCCTTTGATCTTTTGCCGAGCGAAGCAAAGAGCAAGGGAGGTTGAGCGAGCAAAACCGAGAAATGAAGGGGGTAACGAAGGAGGGGATGAGAAAATTCATGAGCTCAGGATGGATGATTACCCTATTCGACGATTATACTGCATGGATTAGGCCGGTTAGCTATAGTGACGATGTGATTAAGGAGAGATTTAGGATAATTAAGGTTTCATTTAATTTAATAATGTTTAGAACTTCAAAATTTTTTTTTCAATGTATTTATAATTTATATATGTTATTATATATCAAATTGCTCGATTTGACACGTAGACTTTTATAAAATTATTTTGGTGGAAATCCGAGGGGTGTGGAAATTGGGGTATATTATATGTTACGAAAAATTTTATGCAATTTTCAAAAATTGGTTATTTTATACAATTTGAGAGGTATGCGATATTTTACAAATACCTAACCGCAACAATCACACATCCTTAACCCTAAACATATTAAGTCTTATTTATACTCCCAATAATAACTAACAAATGACTAAATTGCTCATTTTAGTCTTACGCCTAACATAAGTTTTCGAACTATTTTGGTGGGCTCGGCGTTAGGGATGTCAAAAATTAACCCGACATACTAACACGACTCGAACTCGACTCAAAAAATCCGGGTTAGGGTTGAATATTTTTTGAGTTTGGTTCGAGTCAGCGAATTCAACCTGTTTATTGTTTGGGTCGAGTTCGGGTTGAACCCGAAAATCCAAATATAACCCAAATAAGCACAAAATTTTGGGTATGGTTTTGGTTAGCGGGTCAAGCTCGGGTTTGGGACTTAGTTTCAACATGTTTTTATTCGGGTCGGATTCGGGTTGACCTTATTCGGGTCAAACCTGAACCCAAACTGGTGACCCGAATTGACATCCCAACTCGACGTCGAGTCAGTAGAGCACGAGACAAACAATGCTGTAGGCACTGGTTTAACATTACTTCCCTCCCAAAAAGGTCACATTGTCCTCAAACTATAAGAGAAAAAACTCCTGCTGGATCAAATTGTATGACTCTCACTCATAAACTAACATATTGAGGACAGTGCGTAATCGATAGCCTGAAGCATCTCTACAAAGAAAGGTTGGTTGAAAGCAGGTAACACAGACACTGGTACACTCGTCATGATCATCTTCTTTAACTTCTTAAAAATTATGGTTGCCGCTTTCCTCCACTGAAAGTTGTCCTTCAATTTCTCCATCAACAACCACACAATTGAATTTCAACCATTCACAAACTTTCAATATTTTTCTGTAAGTTCAAGAAATTCTCTAAACCCTTTTGAGGTCTCAAATATCTTTAGTTTCCTTTTGCGCGAATCTCCTCAAATTTCTTAATCAAAGCTCATTTCTCCCATGAAAAGAGGGTTTGTTTATCTTCCTTGACCCATATTGATTTCCCTTCTTCCCTAAGTCTGGTCCCTATAAACTCCTAAATTGCCTTTATCCCAGAAGGTAGTCGCATCAAAAGACACTGACGTAGATGTATGTAGTTCTCTGTCAGGTTTCCACCCACTGTGGTTCTCTGTTTTATACTGAAATCCTTCAAATCGACCTTCTATAGTCTCGACTCTCACGCCGTCTTGTTCCGCCTGCTTTCGCTTTTTGCAAACCGTTAGATATCGCGCAATTCCATCTAGATGTTTCCGCTCCAATTCACTTTTGTCTTCTTCACTCGATCCCACATGCTTTAATTTATTCCAGCCATCCGGATGTTGCACTCTTCCTTCCAAGTGTTGCCACTCGAGTTTGCTCTCAATTCCTTTGCTCGAGATCCTCTTAAGGTGGTGATACCGTTCTAATGACACGTGAATCCTTTTGATCGATGTCGCTCAAGTCTACTCCAGACGTCGTCACTACCTTGCTCAATCATGCAGCAGGCGGCGACGAGTTTGCGTGTAAGTCCACGATCTTCATCATTCTTTTAGGACCATAAATCTCCCATCTATAGGCATAATCGTCCTTCCAAGACGAAGAACTGCCACTCTATAGCCGAGAAGCATTCCTCTATCCCATATTTGATGTAACTTAACTCGCCCTCTAATTTCTCCTTCAAGACAATCTACTTTCTTGTCCGCCATTACTCCCAAGTCAGTTTTCAATCACGGAGGTTGAAATTCTGTGCACTGAGATCCCACCGTTGACTTCCCAAGTAGCCCGAATTGTGTGTGTCACTACGTTTTAAGCCGTGATCCCATCCTCGACCTCAAATTGTGATTATATTTCAAGGTTAGGTCCTCCTTGTATGCCGGGATCCCCTTCTTTGCTTTATAGAATCGAATCCCGATGTTGGTTTCTCAGCTAGCTCTATTCGGGAGATTCAATCATGAAGGCACTCAATGACGAACGCCTCGACGATTCAACATGATACGAGAAGGTGCAACAGCCAAATGCTATGATACCAATTTGATAGATTTCATATAAATTACTTACTAGAATCGAATCGCTATTGTATCGCAATTAGGGCGCATCGCGATCCCAATGTTGATACCAATCCTTTGCTTTCTAGAGTTGAATCACCATTGTATCACAACTAGGGCACATCACGATCACTATGTTAGTTTCTCAGCTATCTCGAATCACGACATTCAGTTAAGAAAGTTCGCAATGACGGATGCCTCAATGATTTCAACATGATACAAAGGGGAGCAACAACCCAATGCTCTGATACCAATGTGATATGGACTTTCACAGAAATTAGGGCAAAATAAAATATTTTTATCTTACCAATACCGAAGAACACAACCAAAATACATAAAAGATAAACATCTACAATTCAAGAGGTAGGCTATCTCTCCCAGTCCCTAATCCTCTTATCTATAATTCGAGAGGTATGCGATATCTCCAAAACTGTAACTCTAAGATTCAAGGGAACAATCTCACATATCCCTAACTAAACATATTAAGCCCTATTCCTAAAAAATATAATTCGAGAGATATGCGATATCTCCAAAACTGTAACTCTAAGATTCAAGGGAACAATCTCACATATCCCTAACTAAACATATTAAGCCCTATTTATGCCCCACGATAATAACTAACAAATAACTAAATTGTTCCTTTTGGTCTTATGGCATATAAGTCTTCAAACTATTTTCACGGACTCAACATCGATTCGGTGGAGCATGAGGTGCGGACGGTGCCGTAGATGGTGGTCTCAATAATTTTTTAAGCAAATTATTGTGTTATTTGAAAATGTGTCGCAACTTATCTATAGATCATGAAAAGAATTTTGATTTTCTTTTTCTTTAGCTATATGTTTTTCAAAAGTGATGTAGTAACTTCTTTTGCAGTGATCACATTGCTCTTCTTAAGGCTTTTGATACATGGAAAGATGCAAAGCGAGCTAAACAAGACCGTGCTTTCTGTTGGGAGAATTTTCTATCACCATTAACATTGCAAATGATGGATGACATGCGAAACCAATTTCTTGATCTATTATCTGACATTGGCTTTGTCAACAAAACTAAAGGAATTAAGGTGCAGTGTTTTCATAATTTAGTGAATTATTTCAATGTATTCAACTTTCTCATAAAATTCATTCTTTTGTGCCTATATTGCGTTATTTGAATCCTTGTTTTTGGAGTCACACTTTTCTTTTATTCGGTTTAATTAAAACTTATAAACTTTTTTGGAATCACTGCTATTGATGTCACGCGTTTATTTTTTTTAAGTTTAATTAAAACTCTAACAATTTTTGAATCCTTGCTATTGAGGTCCCACTTTTCTTTTTTTGGGTTTAAATAAAACTTTTGAAAATTAATTGCTACTTGTATACTACAACTGAATTAATACATATTTTAGAAGTCTTTTTTTTGTCTTTTTTATTTCTTTTGATAGGCGCTTCGTTAAAGAGCAGATGGTGAACCTTTTAGAAAGGTAGAGCTCTCGTTTTTGCAATGGGATAGGGAGATATGGTGGAGGCCTTTTGAGAGGATATAGACTGATGGGGCAAAGTTATATTGGATTTTATTTTGAAAGATTTAGAGGTTTCTTATGGTAGGGGATTTATTTTTTGTGTTAATGTAGAAAAATAGTTCGAGTATAGTGGTTAAGGGGCTTGAAGGGAGGTTGGAGTTTAAGACTTTGAGGGAGAGGGGAGGAGACTTAAGTGGTCTTGAAATTGGGTTAGGTGAAAATTGAGCGCTCGAAATTAGGGTTTTGGATGTTGAGGAGAACTAGGGTTGCCTCTAGGTTCTGATATAATAATTATGGTAGGAATTCATTTACCATATAATGTAAGACATCAACAGGACATATTTCTCAAAGAGATACATCTATCCATCAAGTGTAGCTTCATTGCATTGATGTGTTGGCATATACTTCATATTGTCACATAAACCATAAGAAAATATCTTCTCGAGTTTACATAATATTTACGAAATACTCACATCAAGATTTTTTAACAACTCGGCTGTCGGAGTCCTCGCGTACAACTCCTTGAGGAATGAACTGATTTTGATCAATGATTAAGTATTGACTTTTGGCATAGCACTAAATATAGTTAGTAGTAAGCACTAAAAAAAATGTGGCAGTCATGATTTTTCATACCTAATACCTTCTCTATTTCCAAGTCAACTTAACGGCTCAAGTTTGACACATATGCATTAGGAAACTTCAAAGAAATGCATTCATTCACATATTGTTCTTCATTGTATAGAGTTTTAGGCTTTATTAGTTTATATGCATTTATCTAAAAAAAGTTTTATCCCTCTCATATTGCAATACTCCTTTAAGTAAAATCTTGTTTTGACATTATTTTTAATTTTACTCTTAATATCTATTAGTATGTTGAAGATATTATAAAAAATATTATTCTCAATATGCATATCATTGAGATTATATCTAATTAAATTAATCCTTCAGTATGGAAGATCCTAGAAAATATTCCGCATTGTTCAAATATGTGTAATTCCGAAATCAAGAAGACAAATTGAAGCTAGTTCTCGTCTCTTGGTGTTTTTTGTTTTTTTCATTAATATTTTGCCATAAAAGAACGACTTGATTTTTCAACTCTATTTTTGAAAAATATATCTCTATTCCTTTTAATAGGTGATCGTGAGCTAGAAACCTTCAATGACAATCAAACTAAGAATTTTTTTTCATGTTTCAAGGTAAATACTTTGACAGATCCATGTAATAAGAACAAGTCAAATTTTCATGTAGTGCTCCAATAAGATATCTTTTCATAAATCGATAAATCATTAATCTTCCACAAAAGTAATTTTTAGCTTTAAATTCTATTTTGTAGCAATATTATAAGTCAATGCATCTGTTTTTCACAACATTTGAAACTCATCTATTAGAGTTTGCAAGTAGATACCAACTTTTTTCTTTGGGCTATGTGAATTTGGTATGATCAACGTAAGAAATAAGAACGACGTAGTCATGCGTATATCAGAGGAAAAATTCTATGACGTAATAATCACTGATCAACATGAGTATGGTGTTGCAGCGGACTGTATGGTGTGAACCTATCTACACATAAGCCAAGCTTTTTATTTCGTGGTTCAGCTGTAGAGTTAGCATAACTATGATGGAAGTGTCTCCAAGCTTCTCCAGTTGATGAATGACTCAAATAATTAATATCAATAGATCTGATATTGTCATGTCATGTGAGGAACTGTACGTATAGAAGTAAATAGCCTTTAAAGTCGTGGTATGAGCAATAAGTAGAAGAGATGTATGTACGAAATATTTTTTTTATTTTTACTCTTTCGCCTCTTTGGATCAAATCTCACAGAACCACGAAATTTGCAATCATTAACACATCATTCTATCTTCTTAAATAGTAACCATAACTTCGATACTAATTTTTTTATTCTATAAAGATCATTTGGAACCAAATATTTTGTAAGATTTGTCTTCTTTAGTAATACTGCTACTTGATTAAATTATTTACTGGGTATGTTAAAATTAGATTTGATTCTCAACATTCTCAGTGAAACTAATAAATTTTTATGTGTGCTACAATTTGTCCACAAAGGTTCTGTGTTTGATCATTATGAGGAACACCTCAAACAAAATGAGCATTGTGGGCATCATAAATTATTTATTCATTTGTTATTATCGTATTCTGTTGGAGGGATGAGGCACCAACATGATCGTACTGAACTTATAGTCAATGTTCTGTGTTTGATCACTATGTACAGTTCAATACCAATAATCAGGTTGAAATCCTTTGCGGTACAGATCCAACTTGACTTTTTCGGGTGTTAGCCACATTTTGTTTTTGTGCTTCGCAGAAGGACATCAAAACTTGCCTTTCAAAAGATAAATAGCAGCTCTGATGTTATTTGCACAAATTCCTCTACACCATTCAATAACTCGTTAGCGAGTCTTTTTTTTTTTATGGATACAATTTATTATTATTCATGATCTCAAATTTTGAATATTCTTTCGCAGTCTATATGTAGATTTATAGATTAGTACATTTAAATATCAATCGTATGTATAATTTGTATGTATTACATTTCTAACACCCAGACTTCAATTTGTACATACAAACAACACACAATTCTTGTGCATTACATATGCAACACCTAAACTTCAAATTTTTTGTACAGACCACGCAATCTTATGCATTACACATCTAACAACTAAACTTCAATTTTTACAAACAAACAATTCAATTCTTATGTATTACATTCACACACACCATACAATTCTCATTACATATCTAAACACCTAAGCTTCAATTTCTACATACAAACCACACAATTCTTATGTATTACATGTATAATACGTAAACTTCAATTTTTACATACAATCGATACAATGCTTATGTATTCCATACATACTTATGTATTACATTCATACAATCCACACATATCTCATTACATATCTAACATCTATCGTCAATTTCTACATATAAACAACACAATTCTTTTATATTACATGTCTAATACATATACTTCAGTTTTGACATACAAACCATACAAATTTTTTATATTTCATACATACAAACATCCCCATTCTTATGAATTACTTACATACAAAAAACACGATTCTTATGCAATACATATCTAACTCCCAAACTTCAATTTTGACATATATTCCCCTCAATTCATGTGTACTACATATCTAACAACTAAACTTCAATTTCTACATACATTCAACACAATTCTTATTTATTACATATCTAACACCAAAATTTCAATCTTTACATACAAACCACATAATTCATCTGTATTACATATATACAAACCACACAATTCTTATGCATTACATATCTAACTCTTTAAGCTTCAAGTTCTACATGCAAATCACACAATTCTTATGACTTACATACATACAAACCACGCAATTCTTATGGATTACATACATACAAACCGCACAATTTTTATGCAATACATATCTAACACCTAAACTTCAATTTCTACATACAAACCACACAATTCTTATGCCTTACATATTTTATGCCGAAACTTCAATTTCTAATATGCATACAAGTCACACTATTCTTATGTATGACATATCTAGCCCTAAACTTCAATTTCTACATACACAGAATTCTTATGCATTACATATTTTACACATAAATTTCATTTTCTACATACAAACCTCACAATTCTTATGCATTACATATCTAACACCCAAACTTCAATTTCAACATACAAACATAACAATTCTTAAATATTACATATGTAACATCCAAGTTTCAATCTTTACATACAAACCACACAATTTTTATGCATTACATATCTTACACCTACTTTACTTTCTACATACAAACTAGACAATTCTTACGTCTTATATATCTAAACTTCAATTTCTACGTACAAACCTAACACTTGAACTTCAATTTTCACATACAAACCTAACAATTCTTATATTATAGATCTAACACACAAACTTCGATCTTTACATACAAACTTTGTAACTTTTATGCATTACATATATTTATACATGAACTTCAATTTCTACATACATACCACACAATTATTATGTATTTCATATCTAACCCTAAACTTCAATAGTTACATACAAACCATACAATTCTTATGCATCACACATCTAGCACCCAAACTTCAATTTAGACATACAAACAACATAATTCTTATGTATTACATATCTAGCACCATAAACTTCAATTTTTATATAGAAACTACACAATTTTTATGTATTACATATCTGAAACCGAAACTTCAATTTTTACAAAAATAAAAATAAAAAAAATAAAATCCAAAAATCTCAGGAAAGGAACACGCAAGAGAGAAGAAAACTTTATCTAAAGATCGGAGATGAGGAATGCTCGATGGTTGGATGTTTTGTGAAGAAGGAAGGTCGTCGGAGTTGCCAGAGCCCTAAGCAATAGAATAGTAAAAGAGGTGAATGAGGCTTTGTTGTGCGGGATTAGAATTTTAGGGCACATGTATCGACTTTGCGTCAAACCAAGGCTGATGCAAAATCTTTGGAGTCGGCCTTACTGAACCTTCAATGCTATCAAGTGATTGTATTGTGTTGACAAAATGTCGACG